TGATTTTTGCTTCTTGCTCAACATTTTATTTGATATACCCTTGCATCTACGTAAATGATTTCGCATAGCACTTGTTCCATTCTCAAACCTAATCAATGTACCACAATGGTTACATTTAGCTCTCTTATCTATGTTAGGCTTTGGCTCCTCAATAAAGTGATTCCATACATCAGATCGATTCTTACGCCCTTCAGAATCGCGAGGCGGTAACATTTGTTCAGCTAGATGTTCAATAGTGTCAGAAACTAAAGTTTCATTTAGCTCAGCCATGTAGTTGTTCTACAATAGAAAAGAAAAATAGGATGTAATTTTTTTGTGGTAAAAAATTACATTAAGTTGTTCTACAATATACTAATGTTACATGGATGTAATGCATATGACAGCAGATGACACCTTACATAGTTTCAACAGACAAAGCTTCTGCTTTTATCACATTAGTATATTTGAAGAATGAAGAACGAACAATTAATATAAGGGACCAAATTAGTGTTTTAGCCAATTTTTTTTCTTCGCTATTTCGTCTCTCTTTACAATATTTCTTCACCATTTACGTGTTCCAAATGAAACGTAAAGTAAGAGATACAAATAACACAAACCAACATTGTGCATCAATTTATTTTAAGTGAATGTTAGTTAACAAATTAAAAAAATATAAAACAAAATTTGACAATAAACGATGTTCATGCAATTTTACAAAACAATGTTTCATTATAAATAATATTTTCCTTTCTTCAATTAAGAATAAGCACAATAAAAAAATTAAATTAGAAGGTATTTATAGCGTGAATATTTTTTTTACCTTCTTATTTAATCATAAATTATTACATATAATAAAATTGTTGATTCATAAGAAATCATAAATCCTGAACATATTTTTTAAGAATGATTAAAATCTGTTTGATTAACCATAAATATTGTCTAAAAATTGAATATTTTATTATATTAAATAAGTAAATAAAGATAATGAGACATTTTTATCATATTACAACTTTATTTTTAACTCAATAATGTTTGATACACAAAAATTTTTTACTTTTCCAAAAATTTGACATTAGAAATGTTAATTTTTTGTGTTTAGTTTGTTGTTTTAAAAATAACATTTCTAGAAAATATTATTTCACATGAATGTTTTTTTTTGTATGTTTTCCATGTAAATATTCCTATGAGAGGTAAGAAGTTAGTTTTCTTGAAGTAAAAATAAAATTTTAATACAGTAAAAATATTATGAACAATCAAACAGGTTTTCAAGATTTTTAGGAACTGTGATTCCTAGAATTTATGATTTTCAAGCATGTGAACAATTATTATGTGAAAAACTTATGTAAAAACTATTATTAAAAAATGATATTTCTTTGAAAAGATATTTTTAAATAAAAAACAAAAACAAAAATTAACATTTCTAATATTAGATTCTCAAGAAAATAAAAACGTTTCATATATCAAGCACCTTCTAAATGTCATATTTAAAATTTTAATTAGTTGACCACATAAATTATGAGTTTAATTTTTATACATTATTAATATAAATATTTTTACTTGATCAATTAATCATAATTATTTTATATATCATTTTTAAAATATTTTTTTTATAAAAGTTAACAAATTTATAATTAGACGAATGTATTATACTGTTTTTTTAATTATAATTAACTAAAAAATCTTTATATTTACTATGCATGCAGATTAAACTCATTTCCAAATCACAATTAAAATAATCTTCTACCAAAATTAAATCAATTTCTACCAACATTTCAAGCACCCGGATTTTTAATAATTAAATCAATATGACAATATGTGTGTTCTTTAGCCTATAATTGAAAAAACTCTCACAATGCATGAGATTCTTGCTATTTGTTCCCATCCCACGGATCAGTTTCTCTGACAGTGGAGGAAATCTTCACCTTGAAACTCTTTATTTGTTCTACAAATAGCATTTCCCGTTTTAGTAAGCAAACATTTTCTCCGTAAGATTAATACACCACATTTCTACTTGTACTTAGTTGATTTATAGCATATCTATATCTGAAGGATTATCACACTATGGATCCGATCGATGCATGATACAACCATAAGTTCAAGTAGAGTTGGAGAACCATAATTTATTCAAGATTCATATCCTACTTATACAAATTGTTATACCCTGTTCTCCAATGAAACACACAATACTACTGTCCCTCACTCATCTCTACAAGGCTAAGCTGAAACGTGGGAGGTTGGAAACATCTCCTTTATATGCTGACTACTACCACTAACTAGATAATTTGTTATGCATCTCATCCCATTGTGTAAGAAGGTGCTGGCAAGTTGATTACTGTAGTCTTAACCTTTGTCATCATGTCAATGCTGTTGGTGATTCCTTGAGAACCAATTCCACTATCCTTCAGACCCTGCCATAAATCATATTTGATTGTTTAGACAGAAAAATATGTTACTAAAATAGATTTATGGCTCGGTTTGCCTTTATACTTATTCTTCAAATTCATAATATCAATTGGGTTTAATTTTGTACACAATGTTGGTATGAAATTCATAACATTGAGTCACCTTATTTTGCCACATAATATCAATGAATAAGATGGTGCCTTAAAGTGATCAAATCTTATCAAATGTATGTGATAGGCCATTGGGCTCAATCAAACCTGGTTTACACTAGGAATGAAACAAAGTGAACGGTTTGTTTGGACCTATCAATGTGTATAAATTAAATTATGGAGGACTAATATTTCACCTGAAAAGGAAAGTGATCAGGTCCACGAGCTGGTGCTGAATTAATTTGAACTGTTCCGGTCTCCATTGCATCACTTATCAGCATTGCTTTGTTAATGTCTCTTGTGAAGACACATCCCTGCATTATACATGGGATTAAATACAAACTTTTCAGTCTTGGAATAGATAAATGCCTTTTTTGACTGAGAACACTCTCAAGATCATGCTGTGACAATCTCAAATGATCATCGATATAATGAAAACAAATTCAGAACAAAATGGACAATCCCACTTAACACAGCTTTTCACAAGAGCATCTTATTTCTGAGAAGAAAAAAAACTGTTCAAAGTTTCAAACTCATATAGTAAGTAAGAACTTATATGACAGACACCTTCTTTTGCAATAGGGAAACATAAAAATGTAGCTAAGTTTAAGGATTTATTGATCATGCACTGTCAGTATATAAACTTTTATAGTGTAACAAATAAAAAATCATAGTTGATATGACTTATAAGGTAATTATTATAAAAGTTAACAAACATTGTACAATATGGTTTGTGATTAATTAACTGTGTAAAACTGCTTTACATTGTCGGAATAGTCTTTTTTCTCATTGTTTTTTAAATGATGGCGCCCTTGTGTTCATTGAATGTAAGCATGCATACTGATGAACTGATGCTATACCTGAAGGCCAAAATTGCTAGCATTACAATGGTGAATTCCTTCTTCAACAGTATTTATTCTAATAACTGGCAAAACTGGTCCAAATGGCTCCTCCCATGCTATCCTCATATCAGGGCGAACATTATCCAACAGCAACGGCCATATGAGATTTCCGTCCCTTTTGTATTCCTGGCAGAATGTTGCTCCTTTCTCCTTAGCATCCATTACCAACCCTTCAATGAAGTTAGCAGAGGATTCGGTGACAACTGGCGTGACATCGCAGTCATTCTCGGGAGGTCCAACGGTTAACTTTGCAACTTTATCATTGATTTTCTTAACAAGAGTGTTGGCAACGGATTCCATGACCAAAGCAACCTTTACAGCTGTGCATCTTTGACCACTGACACAAAATTTTCACAGCATTTGTATTAGGATTTAGTACTAATGTTGTTATGGAAGTTTAGGCAACCACAATGAGAAAATTACAACAAATAAATCAGTTCCCAACATTGAAGTTTTAAGCTTTGGAAATGTGAAAGTTTCACATAGAAACTGCAAATCTAAATCAAATGACACTTGAGAAATACGATAATCATGGAACTCAGTTGATTTCCTAGCAAGAACTCGTTTTCCTTTGTATATGTTTCCAGAAGAGAAATCAAGTGAATGATTTGTCTTTTGGAGGAAAAGAGAAATAACTAAGAAAGACAAGATCACATAGCTGTTAGATATAACAGTTTTTTTAGGCAAATTCAACACAATCTGTTAAATTAATTAAGCAATTTTGTGGTTTCTCCAGCAACAGATTTTTAAAGACTATACAATTTCCTTCTGAAGGTGTATATGCAATTGTTACCTGTAGGAGAAGCCTCCTTTTACAATATTAGCCGCTGCCAAATCCAAGTCAGCATCTTCAAGAACAATGCAAGCATCTTTTCCACCTAGCTCCATTTGAAGAGGAATCATGCCAGCCTTCTTTGATATTGCTATTCCAGTGTCCCCACCAGTGAAACTGAAGATAATGTGAATTAAGTGGAAAAAAATTTCACTATTTCAGTTACAAGACAATAACAAAAAAATTCCCAGGCACTCTTCTATCTTCATAATTTGTTACAAAACAACTTTAAGGCTTTTCATGTAATTATCTTATAATTACTTTTGAAACTGAAGTCTGATATCATTTATTATTTAAAAAACACAAAACATGAAACAGGATGTATTGTATCTAGCTTGAACATCTTGTTGAAAGTTGGAACTACATTTGTAGAATAGGAATCACATGAATTATTGTATACAAAGCAATAAAACCAACCATTATAGAGGACAACAACAATAACAAGATAGCCAAAGCAGTGAATATTATTACCTTATGCAGTTCACCCCCGGATGCATTGTAAGAAAGTCACCAATCTCAGAACCCTTTCCTGTGACACAGCTAATAAGACCTTCAGGGAAACCAGCCAAATGAAAGCAATGCACCATATGTAGTGCAGCAACAGCACCCTGTAAAATCGGATATAAGGAGCTAAGAAAGTTTTCTGGCTCAAAAATCCATTCAAAACATATGGAGCACTTGAGATTTTATATCGATTCTATAGTGGTAAGAATATAATCATTAATAATTTTATTCTCTATAAATAGTTGCATACCTGAGTTGGGGGTTTAAGCACAATGGAGTTTCCAGCAATCAGCGCTGGAGCAATCTTTGAAACAGCCAGATTAACAGGATAGTTGAAAGGTGGAATGGCTAAAACAACTCCAAGTGGAATCTGCACAAAGAATATGTCTCAAAACAATGCTTTATTTACAATCACAAGCATAGATTCTATCATATTGCTGAAATCTCACATTGTCTAGAGATATGACCAATACAATCCTTATAAGTCTCGGATAATCTTTAATCAAGTCTGCTCGTAGGATTGAGATAGATTCTAAGCTTAAACTCTAAGCTGGCAAAAGATGTCTATTTGTAGTCTGGTTTTGTCCCAAATTCTAAGACATTATACAGCTATTGCAGAATTTGCAAAATAGTACTTCGAATCCTAATTACTACTGCCAAAACAGCAACCCAGATGCTTCTCACCCTTCTTCATTTATTTTTTTTGCATTTCTAAGAAATCCAATTTTGTAATGGATGCCATTTAAAGAATTAGAGGAAAGTGATGCTCAATTTAAATGTTAAAAAAATATGATTTAAAAGTGTCCTGTTTTCAAACAAGAACCAAAAGAAAGTAATCAAATTCAAACATGCCTTGAAACTCCCAAAAGCATTTATTACACAATGCATGAGTCAATAGTTACACAAGAAATGGAATGACGATAGTGATCCTTTTATTGTAATTAATAGAAAAACTATAATGCAATGAAGAAGTGTTCATGTGTCATCCATGCCATCACATATACAAGCGGCACTGCAAAATTCCAACGGATTGCCAATATTGGAATGTTATTCATTGGTACTTCTTCTAGTAATAAGTTTTCTCATTTTTGGATTGAATCTAGTATTTGAAGGCATACAGTCATGAACATGTACTCAATCATTCCCTGGATACCCCACTCAATATGAAATATTTCACTAGGAAGGGTGAAAAAAATAATAAGGATTTTGTGAGGGAAAAAAAACAGCATAGTTATTAATGCTAGGTGTTAGAACCACCACTTCTAAAAGAGGTTAGAATACCTTGGAAGTGAGACAGTATTTGGTTCTTTCATTGCCTGGAAAACTATCAGAGACCAGAAACTTTCCTTCCCCAAGAATTCGCACCCCTTCCTCAGCACAATATGACACCAAATCCCCTGATCTGACCACCTACATAAAAATAACAGCATTTATTAAAAGTGAAAACCAAGACCCAAAGGGCAAAATCTCACAAACATGCAACATAAACCTCTATCTTCCCATCAAGAATTCCTAAAATTTCATGTGCATAACATTTGAGTGCTAAAAATAAACATGAAAGTGAAAAAGAGAGGGAGAAAAAGGTCTTGAATCTGATAAACACTCCACTAGGTCAATGAAAATTTCTAACTGAACATATACATACTTCAGTGACAGCATCCTTAGCTGGCTTTGCAATCTCCTTAACAAGGCACTCAGCAATAGGTGCTTTATGCTCCTTCAGTATTGCTGCAGCCTTGTGAAGCAACTCTGCTCTTTTCCACAGTGGAGTTTTGGCCCATGATTTTTGAGCGGTTTTTGCTGATTCCATGACCCTATTAACCTCTTCCTGGGTACATGCTGTTTCAATTGAACAAGATCAATATCCTAAAGTTACCTACCACCTTTCAAAACAAAACTTCAAAAAAAAAAAATAATAATAATAATGCTCTACCATCATGCTATTACTCATGAATCCCACAAAATGATCACATGAATGTGATGTTAATTTTCTTCCAATCAAAGAATTTGGTCATCAGAAAGCAACAATTAAGATGGTGGGGGCAAAAGGGTGTGTTACTATTACCTTGGACCTTGAAGTGGGTCTTCCTAGTGGTGGGATTGATGATGGGAACGAATTTTCCAGAAGAGGACTTGTTCCACTGGCCTTGTGAGTAGTACTTGAAGACATCACCATCGATGATCTCTGCAAAGGTACCACTGCCAGCCATGTTGAACAAGTGATTCAATTTCAATTTGATTTGAGGTCTGTACTTTGGGTTATATATATATATATATATATTGATATTGAAGATGTGTTTTGGTTGTTATTATAATTATAATAACTAAGATATTATTACTGGAGTGGACTCAGACAGAGTCAAGAAACAGCTACAAATGTTGCTAATACTGAGTGCATAGTCTAGTTCAGTCCTTGACCGATCTGTGGGCTCTTCAGCAGTTTGCAGGAATTAAAAAAAAATGTGAAAGAAAAAAAGAAACGGTTTAAGTTTAACTACTAAATTAGTAAATGAAATGTAGGACACCGCTTGCATTAATTTGTGGATGATAGATATTATACACGTGCTCGTTTAATCGGTAAATTAGTCTTTGATTCTCTCAACTATTGTTTGCAAGGTGTGCTAGATATGGCCATGTGGGAGATAAACTATAATTGTTTATTGAATTGAATATGTTTTTAATTTCTATAGAATAAATAAATTTTAATTTTAATTTCTGTAAATTTTGCCTTTTTTTTAATCTTTATTATTATGTAATATTTTTAACCAGTTGTTTGTTTGTTAAAAAGTTAAGTGATGTATTATTCACATTATTAATTAATGATAACACGTTTGTGTTGTAATTTTTCTTTTTTTACAGATCATTAAAATAAGTGTTATTAATATATTTTAAAATCATCTTTAGAGACCAAAAATAGTAATTTTAGATTTTAAAGTGATGAAAATCAAATAAAAGTATTTTACAAGTATCAAAATAATTTTTTTTTTCATTTTACAATGAGCAAAAACATTTTAAAAGAACCAAAAACAATTTTTACAGATTTTTGAAAGATGAAAAACAAAAATAAATAAATAAATTTACAAGACTAAAATTAAAACTTACTCATTTTATAAGGAATAAAAATATATTTAAACCTTATTTATTAATGCTTTTAGTTATAATTAAACTTAAATATATAAATATTTATGAATATTTTTTAATTATAAATATGAATATATTAATGTAATAATAGTTGTTATTTATTGGTAACATTTCAATAAATTTATAAAATACAATTCAATGGGTTTTAAATTCAATATTTATAATAATACTTTAATATGACAAATTAGTATTTTTATATACTTGAATTCAAAACTTTAGAAATTTATAATCAATTTTTTTGAAAGAGAATATTTCGCTAAACAAGTTTAATAAATAAAATTGTTAAAATGTATAAAAATTCTGATTTTAAATTTAAGTAATAAAATGACGTAATTTGATATGATTTATTTATAATATTTTTTTACTTTATATATATATATAATAATTTTTTGACTTAATTGCACTTTATATCTCTAAAGTTTCACTTTTTGGTGAATTTTCTCCCATTATTTTTCCCATGAATTTCCCTTCTAACTAAATTTTTTAAATTTTGGTGATTTTTGTCTTTCTATCAATTGCTTATCAAAATATTAACGAAATGTTAATGTGATACATCTAATATGAATAAACTTAATGATCCGATATATTTGACATAGGTCTAATTATTATATGATTAGGTATTTGGGTAATATATATTAAGCATGTTATTTTTACTCTTGGATTCATGTGAGATATACAAGATCTATACATTAAGAAAAAATGAAACTAATTTTTACACTAGTTGTTTAAAAGTCTAGACATTGAATTGTCACAATTCAATCAAAAAATAAAATCAGATGATTTGTATTATTCGGACAGTCCATCAATTTAAAATTCAGTCTCACAATTAGAGATATCATATTTTTATAATATGTATCAAGTGAGATCAATAACTTCAACTAAACTTTAGTTTAACTAATCAAACAACACTCTTATATAAAGTATAACTATCTTAATAAGTAAAAAGATTACAAGAAAGATATTTGACCTTACAATAATACCCTATTATAGGAAAGATCCAAAATGAAAAATTGATAAGGATGACAACAACACTTGTGTCAATTTGTACATATGAGAATATAGTCATGTTATATAAAAAAAATGTCACAATTATATTTAGTCAAACTATCATTTTACATAACCTTAGAGCAAACATAATTTACTACATCTAATCATTCCTAGCATGTATCTCAAATAATTATCCATAAAAATTTTACTAAGACATTTTTCTTCTACATTTAAGCCTATTAAAATGACATAAATGGTGGACACTCCATTAATATTTTGACTAGCAATTGATGGAAGAGTAAAAATTGTCAAAATCTAAAAGTTTGAAAGTATAAATTGTGAGGAAAATTACTTAGGGACAAAATTCGCTAAAAATGAAGTTTGGGTGCATAAAAGTAGTGCAATTAACCCTTCGTCATACATGTCACTTCATTAAATTTATCTAACACTATGTTAGTATTTTGATAGACAATTAAAGGAAAGACACAAATTGTCAAAATTTAAAAATTTGGAGATATAGTTCATGAGAAAAACTTTTGAAGACAAAATCCTTCAAAAAATAAAAGTTCAAGAGTACAAAGAGCAATTAAGTTTAATTCTTATCATCTATAAAAGATTAAATGATAAAAACATATTTTTTTTCCATATTCTTACATTTTTTTTACATAAATATTTTTAAATTTCCTATTCCTTATAAACACAAAACTATATATATTAAAATGAGTATTTAAGTTTAAATTAATTATTAAAATTTTACTAGTTTTATTGTTGTTTAAAATAATAAGTTTTATAATAATAGAAATAATTAATATAGAAAAATTAAAATGATGCAAATTATTTTTCGGATAATTTGATCTCTCACCATGTATTATATTATTTGTGTGTGTTTAGGTGAGTAAATATCCTCTATAATATTTGTGTGTCCTAGTTTGTCACGTTAACCATGTATTATAATATTTGTGTGTCTTAGTATGGCACGTTAATTATGGAACAATTCCTGGTGTTAACGGTTAACATGGGGTAAGCATAGAGTTGATTGGGTCCGACTTATTTTTGCTCGTACTCGATCCAAATTTTTTATCACATCATTTATCAAAACTCAAATTCGACTGGATAAAGACTTAAAAATATTTTAGATCGACAAGACTTTATTACAATGTGCTAACTTTAATATAATGTATAAGTAAGTTGTAAAATAAAAGAAATGTAAAATTGAAATTAAAGTATATTTTATAATATATATAATTTAATTGTCTTGAAACCAAAGCATTAAAAATTCTTAGTCTTGCATGTAAGTTATGGGATACTGCATATGAATTAAAAAAATTTATAATTATAAGTAGATATTTTTGGCTTATAGAAAAACAAAAGAAGCAGGAAAAAAAAAACTGGGTGCACATAAAAAATAAACCCACAATCACCATTCAACATCAATCAAGAAGCAACACATCAACAGAAAAAGAAACCTTAATTTTTTATTTGGGTTGAACAAAGTGTAATACATCATGAACCAAATGAATATCTCAGACACGTCAATAATGCTAACCAAGTAGATGTTGCAAATGTCGCTTCAACGACGAACTCATGCAACATGATTACCACGTTTCAAGAGAGCTCCTCCCAACAACACCATTCGTCGAAGAGGGCTAAAATAAAAGGATTGTCATTAGTCAAATGTCAGTAAGGCACAATCTGTCAAAAGGGTTTGCTACCTACGTGTGTTCGAAAGTGATGAAAAACAAGCATGAAGAAGTTGAAGATTGTTCTTCTCCTTGCTTCCTCCAAGTCCATGCAATCTTCTTTGAGGTTCCAAAGGTTGAATGAGACTCCGAAAATGATGTAGAAGTGAATGTGCTTAAGGATCAGTTCCTAGGTGACTCTTTGAGAGAATTTGCTAACTGAAAATTCTTATTCATCAAAAAGTGGTTAACTACACGTCCAAAAGGTATTTATAGGGTATAGAAACTTGTGAGAGAAGCTAAGTCTAATTAAGGTTTAAAGGAAACCATAATATGGTTACCTTAAACCTTAGCCGCCCAAATTTGAACTTAAAATTCAAATTTGGGTGACTTGGCCGGTCACACAAACTTGCATGCCATCATATGAACCGTATGCTTCATTGAAATGTAATTTAGGCAACATTTCATTTGGATTTGAGGCATGTAGATGGCACCTAGTCGTTACCTATCTTACATGCTTCAAATGCAAATGAAATGTAATCCTAAATTACATTTTAATGAACATTAGGTTCACTTTACCTTAAAATTGACCTAACTATTTGACGTAAAATACAAGGTCAAAAATAAACTATACAATAATTATTAAAATAAAAAGACAAAGAAAACAAGACCAATATTGGCTATGTAAAGCCCATGGTCAAAAACGCCCAAAATACAAGGTATAATGAATACAAGGAAATAGACCTATTCTATGTACAAGTTTTACTAGGCCTCAAGATGTGGTGGCCAACAAGAAGAGTAGCATGGGCCTAGAAAGCCCACTATCTTCCAAGTTAACCAGCCCCTCACGTATGCTCCTGACTATAATTGTAGTAATTGGGCCTTAGGCCCATGGTCTTCTATCAAAAGGGGTGCATATTTGGCCTTGACATCTACATGGGTCAAAACTAAACCCGATGTAGAATAACTTTGTGATTTCATTTCTACATTGATCAATAACAAAATTGATGTAGAATCTTTTAATTTACATTGTTTCTCCACAAAATCGATGTAAATATGTTTATATTATTTATTTATTTATTTACAAAATTATTACCACATTTTTTATTTACATCATTTTTATTGGAATCGATGTAAATATAGTAATATTGAACAGTAATTTTTTAATAGTGTTAAAAATATTAATAATTAAATATTTAATTATAAATGCACATTAATTTTTTAAAAAGTTATATATTTTTTTAAAGAGAATACTATGTATTAAATTAGGTCGGATGATTTAAAATATAATCCAAAGCTTTCAAAAAATACATTAAGTATATTTTTAAAGTTCAAATTATTCTAAATTAACTTCATGCAAAAGTGAAGCTTGGGTGAATATGCACACCCCTAATTAAGACGGTTTGGGATGAAATGAATGCACGTGAATGGGGGGCATCCAATTTCGAAGTGCAGCAAATTCATTTCAAGGATCCCTCCTCCTATGATGTAATTTTGATATGTGAAACGGGTTTTTGGCGTTTCTTATAGTAATAATGAATGATCATAAATACATGAAATCATAATTCTTATAAATGATTAAAACATATTTAATTAATCATAAATACTTTTAAGAATTAATAATTGTAAATGTTATTTAAGAATTAAATTTTTTACCATATTAATTAAATGAATAATTAAGGTAACGTGATTTTTTTATTTATTACAATACACATTTATTTTAATTTGAGAATGTTAGATTTTTTCATGAGAATAATTTTGCGAAAAATTTCTGTAAAAAGTTATTTCCAAAAATTATATTTTCTAGGAATATTATTATCCTATAATAAAAGGAATGTGATTTTTAAAATAATAAATCAAATATAAAAAAAACTAACATTATGTAATTCAGATTTGTGTGTTAAAAGAAAAAAAAGAATTTGGTGTATCAAAACGTGTCTTAAAAAAGAGAAGCTACAACTATTTTACAAACTCGTTTGAATTACAAAGGATTTCATCATAATGTTAATAATTATATTGCAAGTTGATTGTGGATCAAATTAATAAGAAAAAAGGAAGATATATATTTCTACCTGTTATATTTTTATATTTATTCTCTTTATCTCATGTACAGGTTGCCTGAACATAATTGAAGATTACCTAATTTTGGGTGGAGATGACTTTTCGAGTGTCCATGCAACAAATATTGCCAAAATATATTGCTAAAATTTTTAATTTAGTTATTGGAAATGTTAATAACAAAGGCCTTTTTTTCTATTTCTTTTTAGTTGATATCTAAAAGTAGATGATAAAATGGACCGGTTTAATTTGTTCAAAATTGATTCACGAAAAATTGGTCATGTTAAACTAACTCACTAATTAAAATCGAATTGGAAACCTCGCTTTCCTCATTTAAGGGTGGGTGATTGACCAAAAAAATAAAAAAAAAATATAGTGAAATTTTTTTTTTCATATTTATTTTGAATAACTCTTTCGATGTTTCATAATATCTAAATGATTCACATAAATTAATCAACTTAAAAAATAAAATAAATGTTAAATTATAATATATTTGGTTTGATATGCTCCATAACAAGTCTCAAATTTTTGACATAATAAAATAAATATGTAATTAAATAGCCTTTCTAATAAATTTGTTGCATAACAAATATCAAATTACATATAATTAATATTTTAGCCTGTGTAATGTATAAACATGTTTATTATATATAAGTAAATATTATATTTGAATATATAAATTATATTTAAAATTATTATACATAAATATTTTGAATATATAAATTATATTTTGTAACAAAAAAAGTATTTTTATTTTTTGATAAATTATTTTAAATTTTAAATTATTATTTTATTAGTCTTATGATAAATAAAAATTGAATTAGATAAGAAGTTAAAAAATCCTTACAAAATCTCTCGTTGAAAAAAAAAAACTCCTAAAAACACTTTTGTCGAAGACAGAAATTGGTGTTTAATATATAAGGATTGATAAAATAAATCAAATGCACAATAAATTTATTGTACAATAAACCACAATAATACATGTGACTTGGTTAAACTTAAAATTAAAATAATAAATAAAAGTTTGGCAGACTAACAAACCAACTCGCTTTGTCTTGCCATTCAGCCTGATTAGCTAGTGGATTAGGCAGAGCATGTTGGTGAACTAGGATGTCTAATCCAACTTGCCAATTTTTGTGGACTAATTGGTCATGACTCATTTTTTCATCCTTATCTGAAAGTATATCATGTTATTAAGTGATATTTCTATTTTTACACCGATTATATTTCAAGGTCCACCAATAATATTTTAAATTTGAACTAATTTTATAAACATCTCAAAATATAATTTTTTGTTTCTAATTGTGTTTTACATTAGATTTTAGGTGTCTCACTAAGGAAGTACACAACCAATTAATGTTCATAATCATTTTTCAGCAGATTCTCAATACAGATAATAGGACTACATTTGTTAAGGAGAGATATTGACCTTTTAATTTTGGGAAAATTAATATTTAAATAGATATGTTTTTATTACTTCATAGAAGTTATTTTGGATATTTCTTAACTACAAATATTACTTGTTAATTAGAGATTCTTTTGGATGTTAGTAAATCATGGATGAGCCATAGCAACTTTACGGTAAACAATCTCAGAAGTGTAAAAAATTTCAAAACAACTTCATTTACGTAATTACTTTTAAAAATAACTTCACAATCATCAATTAGCCATATATGTTAGTTATATAAAATTGTAGAAAATATTTTTAAAATCCACATTTTCGTAACTTAAAATATTATGAGAAATTCAAAAGTACGAAATTATTTGAATATATAAATATCTATAAAGGAAGGTTTGTGTGTATATCTATTTGTGATTTTTTATATGTATCAATTAACAAATTTTTTAATAAATTAAAAATATATGAAAAATTAACAAAACAAGTCCTTATTTTCAAGAATCCACTGGCATGTATTTTTTTGATGTTTTTTCATCACTTTTTCCGGGCAGAAAAGAGCCCTTATTTGACATCAAAATGAGAAAACGAGCTGTGTAACCCTATACAAGAAAGAGATTATCACACTGAGGATTGCATCTGAATCCTACATCAATTGTGAGGTCGAAGTTGAGATATAAAAGTTAATCGTGAATCAAAACTCGTAGCAAAAAACTGGAGTTTGAGTTTTGAGATTTCCCTAAAATTTTAGAATGGTAATTCATAAATATATTTTTGATGATTCAATTATATTCAACAAATGATCGGTGGCCTTAGTTTATTTTTGCTCGAGAGACCTTACTTTAGATTTCAAATTAACCAAAGGTATCAATAGTAGTTTCAATTCGAAGTAAAATAAAAATGAGAAAAGGATCTGGAAGCAAATTCAACTTGTTCAAAATCAATGCATTATTCAAGAATGATATCGTTTATCAATAAAGAACCTATAACAAATAAGATAAAAGATTATGAGAGAAAATCCCTTGAATCTATATCTAAGAACATGCAATCTCTGAGTAAATAGGATTCAATGGGAACGAGTTATCCCAAGAATATTTGAATTTGATAGCATCTGAATAGATAGATTGACCATCATTAACAAGACAACCCTTAGGTGTGACACGCAAAAGTGAAGGGTCTATTCTTTCAGCAGATTTAAATCCAATGCAATTCAAAATCACATTCGTTTGAACACATGGACACTTGTTGGTGATAGTCACACTCCATTCTGTTTTCCCATGAACTTTGGCTCCTGTTTGACTTTGTTCTACGGAGAGATCATGCAAGGAACATTGACTATAACCTGTAATATGATGCACAAGAGAAATTATAAAATATTTGTGTTTCATACAATGATGATAATAACATTACCTTGAGAAACGAGGGCAAGGAAGATAACTATGCTAAGAATCTGTGTGCTTGAATCGGCCATTTCAGACAATACAAATGCAAGCTTTGATTCTTGATTTGTTTTAGACAAAGTACAACATTGGTATGTTGTGGTATTTATAGACGACTTCTTATTGTAGATAAATTATTTGGCTAGTGATAATTCAATTAAAAATTTGATTATTTTCATTCAATATTAGAGTAATAACATATATGTTGTATAATTTGATTCTATAGCATATTTAATTCATATATTTGTTGTAGTAATATCATATGAAATAATATTTTTTTTTGAATTTTTATATCATATTTAAGTTAATTTGACTATTTAAGTCATTTTTTATTTATAAAATACTGTAATTAATTCATAGTAAATACAATTGTCTTAAATAGTCAAATCAACTTAAATCGACTTAAATAGTAAAATCTGTATATAATATAAGATTTAAACTAATTATATGTTATATTCAACTATTTATATTATATTTAAGATTTAAATATGTTTTTAGTTTATCAAATTTAAAATATATTAAGTTTTAGTCCCTTAAATTTAAAATTATTATTTTTAGTGCCTATAATTTTTAAAAATATTGTTTTAATCCTTGAAATTATCAATAACATATCTGAAAGTGATAGATTGAAATAGTTATGTAGTATCAATTGAATTTAATATAATATTTTCACTAAAAGATAAGCTGATAGGTAGATTTTATGTGATAATATTTGACAAATTTTCTAACAAAATTTGAGTATAAAGATTAAAACAAGATTTTTTAAAATTATAAGGATTAAAAACAATAATTTTAAATTTAAAGAACTAAAAATAAATTTATCCTAAATTTGAGGGACTAAAAATATATTTAAACTTATATTTAAATTAATTTGACTATTTAAGTCAAATTATTTATAATAAATAAATTATAACAATATAATTAATTCATTATAAATAAAATTGACTTATTTTTTTTTATAGATTTATTTATTTATTTTTAATCAAGAAAACATAAATTTTTTTCTATATATGAGTCACGTATTAAATAATTATTCAAATTCAAAATTTAAAATGTGATTCTTATCTGCCATTTAAAATTTTGTATAAAATTTTTAAAAAAATTAAATTATACTTTTGGTCCTTCTATTTGTTTTTAATATTAATTTACTCAAAAATAGTTTAATTTGATTCTTTAACCTTTTTAAACGTATAATGTTATCTTTCGGTCTAAATTGATACTAATAGCTGACAAAAGAACAATATTGAACATTATTAAAAAATTAAAAGGACCAAATTAAATCATTTAAGAATAATGAGAACAAATTGAACATTCTATAAATAGAGGGATATATTAAATTGAACAAAAATTTATTTAACATTTTGTCAATATAAAATTTGGTTTTTTTTAATCTATTTAATAATTTATTTTATTAGATAACTCCTTCCTTTTTATGATCTTTTTTAATTTCAAATGTTTAATTTGGTGTCATTCATAATCTTGTTAATACAAATATAAAAAAATTCAAATTTTTTAGACCAAAATATGTTAGATAAATTTTTATTCAGTTTGGTCATATAATTTTTAAAATGTTCAATTTAGTTATCTAATTTTAAAAAAAAATATTACCCTTTTATTTAATCTCATTAATGTCGTTAATGTTAATTTGAATGAAAAGATAACATTAAATATATTGTTAAAGAATCAAATTAAACTTTCTAAAAATAGTGAGGTTAAATTAAAACTTTAAAAAAATAAAAGGACTAAAGATATACTCTAGTAAAAAAACAAATTTCTTTTAATAATATTTCTTGTACTTGGCACCCTAATTAAAAATTCTGGCTCCTAATCAATGTAGCTATTCTTAAACCCACATCAATCGATCCTGCTATTGGTCTTGCTCGCCTAATGGAATATAAAATTAAAGATGCTAAGCCAGAAATTCCTTTTCGTTTTCTCCAGATCCACCTCTCCCTAACCCAATTACCACTTATACATCAACTCATACACCTTCACTTCCTATTTAACACCTTTCCCTTTTCCAAATGCATGAATGATGCACACAAAGGCTCTACTTTAATTGTAATGCCAAATTTTGGCTTGGATGTAATGTTCGAAAAAAGTAAAAAGAGATAATGTTTATATGTGATTCTTATCTGCCATTTAAAATTTTGTATAAAATTTTTAAAAAAATTAAATTATACTTTTGGTCCTTCTATTTGTTTTTAATATTAATTTACTCAAAAATAGTTTAATTTGATTCTTTAACCTTTTTAAACGTATAATGTTATCTTTCGGTCTAAATTGATACTAATAGCTGACAAAAGAACAATATTGAACATTATTAAAAAATTAAAAGGACCAAATTAAATCATTTAAGAATAATGAGAACAAATTGAACATTCTATAAATAGAGGGATATATTAAATTGAACAAAAATTTATTTAACATTTTGTCAATATAAAATTTGGTTTTTTTTAATCTATTTAATAATTTATTTTATTAGATAACTCCTTCCTTTTTATGATCTTTTTTAATTTCAAATGTTTAATTTGGTGTCATTCATAATCTTGTTAATACAAATATAAAAAAATTCAAATTTTTTAGACCAAAATATGTTAGATAAATTTTTATTCAGTTTGGTCATATAATTTTTAAAATGTTCAATTTAGTTATCTAATTTTAAAAAAAAATATTACCCTTTTATTTAATCTCATTAATGTCGTTAATGTTAATTTGAATGAAAAGATAACATTAAATATATTGTTAAAGAATCAAATTAAACTTTCTAAAAATAGTGAGGTTAAATTAAAACTTTAAAAAAATAAAAGGACTAAAGATATACTCTAGTAAAAAAACAAATTTCTTTTAATAATATTTCTTGTACTTGGCACCCTAATTAAAAATTCTGGCTCCTAATCAATGTAGCTATTCTTAAACCCACATCAATCGATCCTGCTATTGGTCTTGCTCGCCTAATGGAATATAAAATTAAAGATGCTAAGCCAGAAATTCCTTTTCGTTTTCTCCAGATCCACCTCTCCCTAACCCAATTACCACTTATACATCAACTCATACACCTTCACTTCCTATTTAACACCTTTCCCTTTTCCAAATGCATGAATGATGCACACAAAGGCTCTACTTTAATTGTAATGCCAAATTTTGGCTTGGATGTAATGTTCGAAAAAAGTAAAAAGAGATAATGTTTATTTATATTATTATAATTGTTTTTAATTTATTTTTAATATTTTAGTAAATAATAAAATGAATCTCTAAAATAATACTAAATTTCTAGTTGTAATATTTTAAAATTTTAGTACAAAGTTTGAAATTTTAATATTTTTAAAATTTTCAGTATTATATTTTAATATGATGAAAAAAATGGTAAATTTCTAACTTAAAAAAAAATTTGTATTGAATGCACGAATAAACCCTACAGTGAAACTTATGCGTTGGTAAAGAAAAAAAATTTATTTTGTTGAAATTTCTGTTGAAATTAACTTTTGTTCTTATTATAAATTATTTTAATTCTCTCAACGGACTCAAATACGGCAAGTATACCGACCGTACAAGTAGTAAATTTAAGTTGTATCCACAAGGACTAGTTAGGTAAAACAAGCATTTAATGACTATTCATGACTAAAGAATAATTCCAATTTCTCATAGATTGTCATGCAATTTGAAGTAAAGGTTATGACTATTGGAATGTTAAAACTATAAAACTATTTGTGTGTGTGGAAAGGATAAAAATGGTATTGTGATTTTATAAGATTGTGGGGTCAGATATCACCGAACTTCACACTGATGAATCTTTATTCTCTTGTTACATTCATTGCCTAGCCAACCCATAAGTTTACTTAAACCTAATCCCTTAGAGCAAGAGCCTAGGTGCAGACAATGAATATCAATTCCTTGAGTATCCAATACATACACCTGCATTACGGGTTAGGGTTTAAGACTACTAATGGGCCAAACTCCATTCCTAGATACATTTCCCACTAGGTATTTTGTTTCAGAGCTAGTTTCAAAGGCTATTTTCCAATACCCAATAGACTCTATATCAAGCAAAGGAAAATCAATCCAAGGCAAGCATTAAGAACAGAAACATAACACAACAATGAATGAAACAACATATATATCATTAATAAAGTGAAGATTACAAAAGAGTTTCGTTGGTTACATCTAACCCTACAAAATAATGGGTAGGACCGCTCAAAATAATGAGGGTAAAACAAAAATAGAGATGGAAGAGAAGATGGAAGAACCGGAGGAAAGACCCACACACGAATGGTCCCAAGCACCGAGAATCCCTTCCACAGCTCCTAGAAGTCGCCCAATGTGTGAATGATGCGGAAAAGCCTTGAAGCTTTGCTCAAATACGAACTGGTCGAGTCAGGATAGGGTTTACACGCCCGGCGCGTTATACCTCGTGCCTGGTGCAGGGTCTTTCAGAGAGGATAGGGTTTTCTATAGTAGTTACTTTTTACCCACCTCCAACCAATCATACTAACCCAATAGTAAATATATTTCAATCTAATATGTAATTATTCTAGTAGAAACATTAAGAAAAAAATATAGTTTGTAAATAAGACTCATTTCCTTCACGTAGTGGATCAAGCTAAAATAAATACGTTATTATATATACTTTAGAATATGGAATTTTCTTTTGTTTTTATGATATTAATTTTATAATTGAATTAATAATCTATAAGAAAGATATTATTTTATTAATAAGTTAAGAATTATAATAGATGTCATATTGGACATTGATGTCAACCAAAATAGTTCATGATTTTATTAAAAAAAGAAGATGAAAACCCCAATCCTTCTAAATCCATTCTCACATAAAACCCCACTTTTGAACCTCATGCCTATTTCTCCCCAAATTCACAAACCCCTATTACCTTTTACAATTGTCAACTCAAGCACTCATCGACCCTCACTAATAGAAAAAAGACTTATTAAATTAGTTAAAACTGATTTTAAAATCGATCATTTATATGATTATTTGCTTGATTTTAATGCATAATTAGACCAAGTCATTAAGGTCTTTATATGGAAAAAGCTCAACTTTGTTCCTAATCTTAATGCTCAAGCCACTTAGAACCTAACAATGGTCTCTTCCTCCCTTATACATGCCCTCATGATGTATAACTCCATCTTTTGTCTATATTTTTCTACACTTATGCTTGTTTGACGAAGTCTTTAGAGCCTATCCATAAGCTCCTGTCTGTAGTAAGAGGGTATGTGCCTCCTTCTCATGACACTTTTAAGATCGTTCTAATATCTCACACTAGGCTTATTGTGGAGCCTTCTCTTTCTCTCTCTTTAGGGAGGTGTTGGGTATTGGGCTCCCATCCTATGTGGAGAAAAGGCTCAAAATTGAGAAGTCCACTTGATGTCTCACTTAATTAAGTGGAGAGAGGGTCTGAAGCACAAGAGTGAGAAAAAGGGAAAGTCAGAAGTCACTTGGAACACCAACACTTTGAGAGAGAGGAAGAGAGAAAGTCATTCTCGTTTTTACACAGGGCTGCGATAGTAAAATCGATACTGCAGATTCGTTCACCGTTGGATCGGGCTGAAAATTGGACAGCAAGTTCCTGACATCTGGTTCTTCATTCTGACCGGTTGGATCGTTGAAATGAGGGCTAAGTAGGGAGATATTTAGTTCGCACTATAGCTGTGTATTTGGGGCTTTTCATCTTCTTTGTTCTCTATTTGTAAGCTTTATTGCTTTGTTGTTTGGCTGAGTATTAGCACTATTTTGTGTAGTTGATTGAGACTCTTTTGTACTTTTTGTTGATCATAGTGGAGCTATTTCTTTAGTATGGATGACTCGTAGTTTTTACCCTTACTTTAAGGGGCTTTCCACGTTAAAAATCTTTGTGTCTCTGTGTGTGATTTTGGTGATTTATTATTGTTGTTCATTGGTTGTTGCTCCTCATAGATTCTTGCAAGTTAGGGGAATTTATTTCCACTGGGATAACTATTTGAGTTTGCTCTGTGTTGTTTTTGTGTTGCTATTTCCCCATCAGAGTGGTATCAGAGCTCTTGTTGGCTTTGGTTTGGGGCTATTTGACTTGCTTGAATGATGGAGACAAATACTAAAATGATTGATTTGAATGGCGCTAATTATCACTTGTGGAAGGGCAAGATTAAGGACTTGCTATTTGTGAAGAAAATGTATCTTTTTGTCTTTACTACTCAAAAGTCGGATTCTATGTCTGAAGAAGATTGGGACTTTGAACACCAACAAGTGTGTGATTTTATTCAGCAATTTGTAGAAGACAATGTTTATAATCACATTGCTAATGAACCACATGCTAGAACTTTATGGGAGAAGATTGAGTCCTTGTATGCTTCTAAATCAGGGAATAATAAATTGTATTTGTTGAATTGTCGGATGAATTTGAGGTATTGGGAGAGTTCTTCCATTTCAGATCACTTGAATGAATTTCAAGGGCTCCTAGATCAGTTATCCGGAATGGGTATCAAATTTGATGATGAAGTTTTGGGACTATGGCTACTGAATACTTTACCTGAGTCTTGGGAGATACACTACAAGAAAAATCAGCATTATCTACGGAAAAAATCCGTAGATAATGATGAAAATCCGTAGATAACTGATAATTATCTACGGATTATCTACGAAAAAAAATCCGTAGATAATAAGGTCGTAGATAACGTTATCTACGGAAAATTTTTCGTAGATAACGTTATCTACGGATTTTATCTACGGATATAGAATTTATCTACAGATGCGTTTATCTATGGAATTTATCTACGGATGCTTTTTTCTACGGAAATTTTCGTAGGTAACTTATCTATGGAAATTTCCGTAGATAAGTTACCTATAGAAATTTCCGTAGATAAGTTACCTACGAAAATTTCCGTAGATAACTTACCTACGGAAATTTCCGGTCTTCCTATTTTTAATCAGGCAATTCTGGTTTCCCAATTTTGATCCAACCATCAAAATATCTAACAACTCAGATTCGCCACAGATTAAAACAAAATAAAAAAAAACAAAAAAAAAACAACAATTTCTCTTCGATTATCAACACAACTACACAAGCACCAGCAACACAACTCAAAAACAAGATCCAATCAGAAAAAAAAATGTAACCATTAACTGATTGTTCCTCAACTGGAAATAAGTAACCATTAACTGATTGTTCCTCAAATGGAAATGGTTTTACCAAGTGTTTTTACTGTTATCAATATAATTCATGCATGGTGAACAATAAAAAAAATTACTAAAAGGATTTAATTGTCAAAAAAAAAATCAGGAACAATTATCAATTGATCACTTAGGTGGTTAATAAGTAACCATTAACTGATTGTTCCTCAACTGGAAATGGTTTTACCAAGTGTTTTTACTGTTATTTAACCCCAAAATTAGAAACAAGACAGCTTATATGATAAAAACTACAGAAAATGATGCAGTACACGAGGACGTTACTTGAAAATTTCACTGGAAATGCAGCAGTATGACCATTAAGTCTAAGTTTTGCCCACAAAGAAACACGGAGGTTTTATTTATTTCTATATCCAACTGGTGAATTTAAATTTTATTCAAGAGAATATTAAAGGAACACATAATTATTACCTGACGTGAGTAATGCTCAGCATCCCTCTTCATGGCAGCCATTTCAACTCTCATTTTTTGCATTTCAGCCTGAAACAGAGAAACCAAACGTATCAATAATGGGAACGGTCTACTTCTAAACAGTGACATTTAATATGCATAAAAGATAGAAAATAATCAAAATATGTGCTCTAGTTATATTTATACAGAAAATCGAAAGTGCTTTGAATTGGTGGCAATAAACAACAAACGACATTGACTCTAAATATGCTATACACTTATCGATAAACTTTGTAGACAGTATGAAATATAAGGAAACCTAATAAAGTTAAAAAAATGGCCTACTTTCTTCTCAATAATCTGTTTAAATACCTGTTTTACTTGATTTGCCTCTTCTGGTGACTTTTTTTGTTCCCGGCGCACACGGGCTTCCATGTCTTGTAGTTCTTGATTTAAAGTTGCACATTCAACCTGATAATAGATGTTACCAAAAACATTTTAGCAGATTTTTCTTTCAGAATAGTAATCACTAATCAGCCTTCACATTCAAAAAGGAAAAAACGTTAACTATTTATTCATGTACCTCAAGAAGTGCCACCTTCTGCTCAAGTTCTGTGGCTTTAGCTGTCCTCTCATCTGCTACTCTCTGAAGAGAAGCAACTAATAAATCAATGTTTATATTTAACCTAATGTCAATAACAATTCCACAAGCAAAAGAGCTTGACAGGGGGAACCAAAGCAGGCTTGTTATTAACTCCTGATTTATCATTGTGGAATTGTAACTATTGCTCATTAATATTTTTAATGGTAAATCAGATATCTAAAAAAATTAAATAGCAAGACCAAAAAGCACCATTGATGACAATATGATGCCAAACTTTATCAAAAAAGCTTGAGGGAATGTAGTCAGACTAACATAGAAGCATTGAACAAGCTGAGATGGTCATACCTCCTATTTTCAAATTTAATGTGACCAAACACGTAACATTTCTGCTGATAAAAATTATTTTATAATCATCTCAAGACTCAGTATACAAAACTCTTCCCTATTCTTGGATACCCCAGAATATCATGTTTTCTGTACAAGCTCTTGATAATAAAGTTCATATATATAGAATTTTTAACCACATAGACAACTTGACACCCAGCATGTATATCTACCACAATGTTGTCAATTCAATTATGATATAAACAATAAACTAATGACATATGGCAAAATCCAAACAGAAAACAGTGCTTTAATATGATTTTCATCCCATTTAAAAATTAAACCATAGCAAGTGCTTACGGTGGCATCTCTAGGCGAATTCCTATAAGCCCATAGAATTTGCACCAGAGTTTCGTGCCAACTTCGAGGTTTGTTTGATATATGTTTTTTGATCAAACCAATCACCACTTTATTAACAGCCTCGACTTGTCCATTTGCTTGTGCGTAATATGGTGTTGAAGTTATCAGCCTGATCCCTCTCGATTCCGCATATCGAGCGACTTTTCGACCCGTAAAGACAGTGCGTTGATCAGTAGTAATTGTTTGAGGAATCCCAAATCTTGTAATAATATGATCTTCGACAAAATCAATTATGTCTTTTTGCTCGATTTCTTTTAAAGGAATAGCTTCAACCCATTTTTTCCCATGGATCAGAAATCTCGATATCTGGGGAAATGGTCTTATAATTGGGAAGGCCCCTTTATAATCGAACAAGCATATTCGAAAAACGCATACGTTATTAAAGAGATAAATTCGAATGCGAGCAAAGTGATAAATGGAAAGTACTTGAAATATTTTCATGAGAGGACAGAATATTAATTGTTCGATACAAGCCAAAAATAAATTAGAAGGAAGTACAGAATAGAAAAGAAAATCTAATTATTACAGAATTTGGATTTAAAGTCTTTGAAAGCTTTATAAGCCTGATCCAAGCTTTGCTTTCGAGAGATACACTGAGCCTCTAGATATTTCTTTTGCTCCAAGGCCTTAGCAAGTTTAGAAGAAATCATTTTGCCTTCCTCCTTAAGACCTGTCTGACGTTGCTTGATTTCTTGACTCTGAACTTTAATAGCATCCTTCTTCGAGCGAGTCTTCTCTAACTAATGCTGCAGAGACTTGATAGTGGTTTCGATATTTGCCTCTTCTTTTTGCAATTGTTGCAAAGAAGAAACTATCTCTGTTGTTGAATTCTTGATTGAAATCAAGTCATTACGGAGGTTCTCGAGCTTAGCCTGGTCTCCTTCGCTTTCAAACTCGACATGAGCTACTTCTTGAAATGCAGTGGACCATTGAGTTCGAAGGTCCCATGCGAGGCTAAAGGGTTTGACAAACTCTTGCAGCTCAAAATGGACCTCAGGAGGAAGGTTCGGGTAAGACAATAGATCGTCCATCATTTGTTCAACCTCTGTCTTGAATTCAGGAATGAGGAAGGCCTGATCAAGATCTTCAACATACGCCTTTGATCGAAAAGAATCAAGTAAAGGTTGATATGATGGAGTCTCAGAAACTTGCTCGACGGTTCTTTCTTTTTCCTTCTCCGACTCAGAAGGACCACTTGTCCAATTATCCAAGACCTCGAAGATACTGTTAATATCTTCGTCTTCATCGTTGAAGAAGCTCATCAAATCCAGGTCCGGAGAAGGAATTGAAGAAAGGCCTTGGACAGAAGAGGTAGCACCGCCTTGGGTCGAAGGGGAAGTAGTGAAAGGCCTGGGAGATTCGGTCGAACCTGTACAAGAAAAAAAAAAGAACAAATATACGTAAATTTCGAAAAGAACCACTACAAACTAATAAGGTTGATAAGGCATATACCCTTGTTCGGACTCAAGGGGGGTTGCAGCTCGAAAGAGGGTTCACCTTGGGCAGAGTCCTGTAATGTCTTCACAGTTGTCGAAGGTTCAGACTCAACAACCTTGTCCCCTTCGACCTGGGGAGGGACTTCTATCGAAGCCACCACAGAGGCAATCTCAGCAATGTTCAACTGAGGCGTGGTCAACTGCGAACAAGTTATGCAATCAAAAGATTAAATGGAAAATCATAGAGGCGAAAGTTAGAAAAATTAACCTGTTGGGCTGCCTCAGTGACAGGAGGTACATCTCTCGACAGGTCTCGAGAGGAATCAAGCTGGATGATTTGAGCATCCTGTGAGAAGTTAAGTGGTGTTAGGGAAGTCGAAAGCACATGAAGAGTGAAATTGAGCTAAAAAATTAAATCACCTTGGGAACGAATTTCATGGCGTCTTGAAGCAGCTTCTCGCCAGCAAGTTTTCGAGGTTTCTTAGAAAGAGGAATCACTAATTTCCCCTTTCCTTTATCTGGCTTATGAAACTATTGTTACTTGTCAAAGAATCAAGGAATTAATGTGGACACGGAACAGTTTTTTCATGCTTAATTAACAAGATCACTTACTGGTTCAGAAATACACTTTTTTTGTGCCAACCTTTCCACTATAAAGGCAGCAAGCGAAAATATGTTGAGACTAAGACTGCATACAAAGCATAGATATAGTTTCCAACCTTTTCAATGCCTTTTGTTTATCCTTGTCATCATGCAAATCTAACTTGAGTACAAACTTCTATAAACAAAATCAGGAACTTCTTTAACCCACAAACTAATTAATTAATAAACAGAACATTTGACTCAGGAACTATGAAAGAATATTTACAGAACAACAACATACAATATCTGAACAAGAAAAAAAAAGTGACACTTTAGAACCTCCAAAATCTATCTACAACCCAAAAGCTCATAATATATTGCAAAAGATGTGATATCAACCATCCAAAATACAGACCCAGGTGTTGAAAATCCAAAACTAGGATTCTGATGAAGGGAATATACAAATTCTTTTTAGGCCACCCCAGATCCTTGAATCAGGATTAATAAGGGAAAAAACAGAGGATGTGAAAAGAATAAAGAAACAAAAGGGGGAAAACATAAAGCTCATGGAGAATCAACAATGAAATAAAGTTAAGAGGAGAAAATTATACAGTTTTAGAAAAAAGAAAGAACTGAACCAAAACCAAAACCCATCACCCAAACACCCCAATCGAAGAAAAAATGCGAAGAATCGACGAACTCACCGGAATAGTTGAGAACTTTAGACAACAAATTAATGAACCTGCAAATTAGGAAGAAACCCCTCCAAAGAGAGCAAAAAGGAGAGCAAAGAAGAGACAACAAATTAGGAAGTAATTATAGGGATTTTGTATAATGAACCTGCAATGCAAGGAACTCAGAAGAGTGCAGCGCCCCGCGTCGGCGTAGCCACTAGCCGCGTACTCGTAGAACGGTAGAAGACATCTAGGAGCTGGAGCACTGGGCTGGAGTCTGGAGCAGTAAACAAAATGGTTTGGTTAAAATGGATTTTTTTAAAGGTGTTGATGCGAACCGTTTTAAATAAACTGGTTTGGTTAATTGGTTTTTCTAAATCGGTTCGGTTCGGATATTTTATGTTTGGATCGGTTCGGTTTAATTTTAAATGGTTCGGTTCGGTTTGATTTTTTTGCACACCCCTACTTGATATGATTTGACATTATTCTGCAATAAAGGAGAATTAAAACGGACAAAATGTATGCCAAATTAATTATTCCAATTGATGAAATAATCCTAAGAATTATGCATGAGAGCATAACCCGTATAGCATATCCCATATTATGCATTTTGGGTCAAGTAGTATAGGAATTTTTTGTCCTTGTATAATTTTTCTTTAAGGGTGTAATTAGTATTTTATGGGAGGTGTAACTAGCTTAAGCCATAGACTTATTTGGGCTTGGATGACCCAAAATTTTTCGTAGACCATAGGATTGGACGTCTACTTGCTTAGGCAAGTTAATATTCCGTAGATAATAACAGTTTTTCTTGTAGTGATATTTCGGGTTTCTATTACCAACTCGTCCCCTAATGGTGTTGTTTCTTTGCAAGTGGCAAAAAGTGGTGCTCTTAATGAAGAGATGAGAAGGAAGGCACATGGTTCTTCATCTCAGTCTGAGGTGCTTGTCACTTAAAAAAGGGGAGAAGTCAAAAAAAGGAACTGAAGGGTGGTAGAAAAAAGAGTAGGAGTAAGTCCAAGTCCAGATACAAGAATGTGGAGTGTCATTATTGTCACAAAATAGGGCATATACAGAGAAATTATTTTCTGTGGAGAAAGGAGAATAAAGGCAAGAAGGGTAAGCAAAAAGAAAAAGATCATGATGATGATGATCATGTTGCTACTGCTACTTGTGGTGATCTTGTTATTCTCAGTGACCATGGGTCAGTTAATCTTGTATCAGATGAGAGCATGTGAATTGTTGATAGTGGTGCTACACTGCATGTTACACCAAGGAAGGAGTTCTTCACATTTTACACTTATGGTGATTTTGGAGTGTTGAAGATGGATAATGATGGTGTGTCTAAAGTGATTGGTGTTGGTGATGTTTTCCTGCAAACCAACATGGGAATGCAGTTGTTACTTAGAGGAGTCAAACATACTCCTGATGTCTATTTTAATTTGATCTCTATGCAGATGCTTGATGATGGTGGTTATGATAACCACTTTGGTTCTGGAAAGTGGAAACTCACCAAAGGTAACTTGGTTGTGGCTAGAGGGGAGAAAAATTCTAAACTGTATTGGACAAAAGCTTTGGTTGCTAAAGACAATGTGAATGCCATGGATATGGAGGCATCTTTGTGGCACCGAAGGCTTAATCATATCAGTGAAAAGGGGCTGAATTGCTTAGTTAAAAAGGATGTTCTTCGAGGGTTAAAGAGTTCAGAATTGGAAAAATGTTCTCATTGCATGGCTGGCAAGCAAACCAGAGTATCCTTCAAGAAGCATCCTCCCTCAAGGAAGTTAGAGTTGTTGAATTTGGTACATTCTGATGTTTGTGGTCCATTGAAGGTGAAATCCTTTAGTGGTGTACTTTACTTTGTTACCTTTATTGATGATTGTTCCAGGAAACTATGGGTCTATG